GCAAACAGTCTGGTTGCAGCAAAGCAATTTGGCTGTTGCTAGTACTCAACTTCAGCGGACTGGATCTAGCCCATATTTCAAGAGAGTTATAACAGGAATCATCTTGTATTATGACAAGAGTCTACAACCAGTTTTTCAAAGGAAGATGTGCCACCATCTCACGGTGTACAGAGGGAGGCTAACAATTTAGTGAGGACTCAGACACAGAATATCCAGTTTCATCACCCTTCCACTTTGCATTTCTCCCATTTCCAATCAGATTCCAAATCTGCTTTGGCTTCATCATGTCCTTTTATAAACACTAGGGTTAAGAATTTCAGATATTGTCTTTATATAGTCATTTTCTCCTTCATCAAGATATGATTTTGGGGGGGATTAAAAGCTGCTGCAAAATGAGGCTATGAATAGTAACTAAAGAATAAGAACCTGGCACAGGAAGATTATATTACTGGGGACAGTGAGAATATAAGAAGCATGTACTACTTTTTCCCCAGCATTCTTTTAGCTTTCAACCATTTTCAGCTAAAGGTAGTTCCTTGGTTCACAGTGGCTCATTTATTTGAAACTGTCTTCTCTAGTCTCCCCCTCACCTCATGTGATTTTTACTTTCACAATATCCTTTGGCAGGGAAGTCTACAACACCCACCACTTTCTGCATAAATAGCCAAGACCTTTTATGTTCCACCTCACCCATCTAGTGTCAGCACACAGATGTTTTTATGTCCATCTCAGCCCAGTGATGTAGCATTAAGGCTAAGACTGTACTATTACTATAGCTGTCTATGCCTTCACATGCACACAAGATTTGAAAAGGCTTTAGATGAGATGCTTCATTTTCCCATCTGCTTGTGTGTTTCTTTAAAAGGTGTGTAGTAATAAAGCATAACAACTTTCTCCATAAACATGACACACTGAAAGCCCACACAGCACTGGGCAAAAGGCAGCATACAGCATTTACTAACCTAAATGACCAAACCTTTGCACTCCTGTCATGAAAGAATCAGCCTTAGCAAAAGTTGGATGCTTTTTTCTTCACTGCATTTGAAGTGTGCAATCCATTGGGCTGTGCTTGCATGTTTTTCCTGTGCAGTGTTACGTATTACAGCAGAAATAGCACACAAACGTAAGTCAGAGGAGTTACAAAACGGAATTATTCTTATCACGAACAGCAACAGAAGCAGCTGGTAGGCTCCCACTAGTGCCATCGGTACACAATGCAAGGAAAACCACCGCTTGTTACTAGAGGATATTTTACAATGACATAAGCTTGTTGTCCACAGGGATTTGTCAGTGGCTGTTTATAAAGTCCAGGTGTTACATTTGTTTCCTTCAGGATGCAAGTGTGAACCACGAAGTCAGTAAGAGAGGATCCAGCTGTGGGAAGTCATGGCTCTTGCTTAATTAAAAAAGGTGGTGTGGGAAGAGGGAAAGGAAGAAGAGTTTGTGGGAATTTAACTTCCTCACATCTTCTTCAACTATACCTACTTTTAAGGTACAGAAAAACAAGTAGTTGACTGGAGAAACCTATTAAAGGTTCCGACATCTATATATCTTAGTGTTTTGCACAAAGCTACTGCTAAGGTAGCACTTGACTCATATTCCGAAAACTTTGAGTCTGGGAGTCTTACAAATGGATACTAAGGCAGACCTCATCTGGTTCCTTTGAAGCAAGCTTAGTTATGTTATGAACAGCTGTTCAAAGATATCATGACAAAAAAAAATCAGCTATCCATGAGATGACTTGTTCTTCAAACTTCATAAAACTTGTGTTTTATGAAAAATATTCAGAATCAAAATTTTGTTAAGCTATAAAAAATTTTGGTTTAATCCTATAAGATAATTTGTAATGAAAAAAAAAATCTATGATCATTCCCCTAAATTTTTGCAAATGAGTAATTGGCCAGCTCCAGATACCACCATGACCAGCCACTGTGAACCACCGCAGCCTCTCTGTAAGTGAGAGGAGGAATTTGTGCAGTGGGTGGGGTACTCCTGTCCCAGCTTAATTTCCAACAGTTAACCATACTAGAAATTTAAGAGTGGCTTTTCAGCAAACACAAGCAGAACAAATGCTAATTCCTTTGCAAGCTAAAACAGAAATACACTCAGTCCACTTCCTGGTATTGACATAGTACATTGTTCTAAATGCATCCATTGTAAATAGAATATAATAGCTTTGCCGAAGGAAACCAGTTAAGAAATAGTTATACGTGGATCATGGTAGGAGTTTTTTGTTTCAATTTGTTTGTCTGCCACTCCTTGATAGCTACACAAGCTTCTCGAAAAATATTTTTCCCTGTATGATATGCACGCACTTCCATTTTTGGAACAACAGAATCTCCAGATCCCTTTTTTTTTCCTCCTGATAACATAAAGCAAGCAGTGACATTTATAAATGTAACTGTTGACTCTAAAAGGTTTGACAGAAGCAGTGGTAGAAAAGCAAATAGTCTGCCCACCCACTGGGGACCCTCCAGTCAAGGACTAAGTTACAGTAACTTAATTACAGGAAACTCCTTTCTCAATTGTCTGCTTCTGTGTGCTTCATGGTTTAACTGGAGTATATGGAGCAGTGGGTCAGTGGGTGAGGGGCAGGGAGGGGCACTGATAGGTTAAAGAAACACCGACTTTTTAAAAGTTTCCAGATAATCAGTTACTTGCCAAAACTTTGCTCAACCCAACTTGACCCTGATAAACATACAAGGTTAATTGTTAGAAATTTGTAACAACAAATACACCTTTTTCTTTTCTTTTAACAAATGATTGCAAGAATATTTCTTTGGAAAAAACCCAAATAGTAATAAGAAGATAAGATGCCTGGAAATAATTACAGAAGTTCACATAAACATTTATGCACGTAAGGAGAAGTGATATTTTAAACATGAGAAATTAAACACCCACTTCTCAATTCTGACTCAGTCATACCAGGGAAACATTTCTACATACTAGTTAACTGTATAAATGCTAAGTAAATAGAGATATATATGATCAAAGACTAACTATAGAAGTTTATCTTTTAAGTCTCTGCTAGAGCAGCCAGTGGCATATATGTCTGACAATGTTTTTCAGTAAATGTTATCATAACAGCTTTGAAAGTATTCATGACAATAAAACAGCAAAAACTCTCAAAATTTTAACTTCCAGCATCAATGATTTAGTATCATTAGAAGACACTAGTATGTTTTATTTATAGCACAGCATTTTTATCAAGACATAAGAATAGGTCTTTCAGTGAAGATTCATTTTTATTCATTATTTCACCTTTTTTTAACATCTAAATATTAGTTTCAAAAGACCAATTAAGAACAAAGCATCCAGATTAAACTAAGTTTTGTTTTACTAAACACTGTATTTGCTAAAACACACCAAATCACGGAGAATACTCTAAGGTGGAAGGGACCCACAAGGATCATAGAGTCCAACTCATAAGTGGATGGCCCATACGGGGATCGAGTCCACGACCTTGGCATTATTGGCACGATGCTCTAACCAACTAAGCAAGCATATTTTATACAAGTTGCTGGAATAACTTCATGAGCTCTTATCATAAAAGAATATGATGATAACTGTAATTTGAAAATGAAGACTCAGAATAATCTTATCATTATAGTTAGCTATATTTTATTGTAGGCTTTTGTTCTAACCAGACTCTTCACAGTGCTTTTAGCACTGTATTTATTTATAAGTGTGACACACAACATGAGAATCAGAGAGAGTTTGGTCTTTGAAAGACTAGATGTAATTGCTTCTCCTCTTGTGTTGAGAGTTCTCCTAGTAACATGTGCTAAACTTTACAGCAAATTAAAAAAAAACCTTCTGCAGATAAGCATAACTTAATATCCTTCATGTGAAGAGAAATGCCTTTTTCTGCTGTTATTGATGCACTTCTTGAAGTTATTATTGGAGTATGCTCTTCCAGGCCTTTCAAATGTCAAAATGGAGTCTTAAAGGACACAAAAATATTTAAAACTAAGTTTTGAGATGTCTGTCTTGAGGCATAGAATAAACCAGCCTCAGCTGTAAGCTTTAGTCTAACTAAAAGACACACTTGAATTAATACAGCCCTTGTGTGAGGACAGCAATGATCTAGAAAGTAAGGGTATACAAGAGCTACTATAAGTTTTGACACAATACTGTCAGAAACACCTCACAACTTTCACACTAAATAGCAAATTTCTATAAAATATTTTAATGACACATCCAGCAGTGATTCTGAGAAAGAACTCAAACTAGCAGGGTTACAATTTTTTTTAAAGAATAAATTTTCCTGAAACCAAGTACCAAACATTCAGATATGGGAATTTAAAGTTAATGGACTTTGAGAAAAAAAAGTAATTGGACTGAGCATTTCACCACTGATTTTAGTGAAAATCATGCATTGTCAATTCCTCCTTGAATCACTCACTCATCATTTAGAAAGACGATCTTTACAGAAAGACTGATCAGGCATTGGAATGGCCTACCCAGAGAGGTGGTGGATTCACTGTCCCTGGAGGTTTTTAAGATGAGGCTGGATATGGAACTGAGTAACATTATCACAGTGGGGTTGGATCAAGGGTTGGACTTGATGATCTTGGAGGTCTCTTCCAACCCAGTTAATTCTATGATTCTATGATCCCACATCTTAAATGTTAGCTTGGGTTCTGTGAGACTCAAGTATTCTGTATGAAAAACTGGCCTCACTCAACAAGATCTCTATCAAAATGGGACAAAACATCTTCAATGCTGAAATCCTATCAGTCCACTGGCCCTCCCCCCTCAATATATATTTCAGTAATATCATGCATGATGGGCTAGAGAGGGGTGGAGAGGTTAAAACAATAAAAAATAAGTGAAAATTTCCTGCTATTTAGATAAACATGCACATATAAAACTAATTGAGCTCTTCCTTAAATTGAAGGCCAGTAAGAGAAACTCACTTTTTGACTTGAAAAATTCTTCACAAAATCACAGTGTTTCTTTTTTTTTCAATAGTCAAAAAATAGAAGAAAACTACTAACCTTCACTTCTGGGCACAGGCTCTGTACCACCTGGTGTTTTATCTGGCATCTCTTCAGACATAGGCTTTGTAAAACCTAATGGACACAAAGCAAAAAAAGCATTCTCCATCAAAGCCAGTATGCTCATGGTCCCTGTGAAGCATGGATTTTCAGCTTTCAGCATTTCTGTATTCGTATGTAAGATATATCAAGAGGTAAAACTCACTAGGGGTTAACTGCAATACCATTCAGTAGACACTTACCTGGATGTACTGCCAGGTGGGAGGCACAAAAGGACCCTAATTACATCTGCAGAACTTCTGTCTTTGATTTTGTATGTTTTTTCCCCCCCTTAGTTTATTTCTAAGGAGAGGTCTATGAACTGGGATGGAAGAGCTGCTTACACTCACATACTGCTGAAGTTAACAAGAGAGTGACCATGTGGAAGAGTCACATCAGCCTGCATTAAACAGAAAATCCTATTAACTGAAGGCTTTACTACATTGTAGAGCAGCAATGTTTCCTCCATCACAGCAACGGGCAGAGAAGAAAAGGCTTCTCAGGAAGGCAGTGAGCCCGTCTCCTCTTACAGCAGTGTTATGTACCCTCTGTGGTACTGGCTGATGGTCAAAGTGTGGCTACCACATACTGACTAGGATTTTGTATCCTCCTTTTTAGCACCTTTGAATATTTTCCCATCATCAGTAGACTGACATTCAATTTTACATTAAAAAAGCCTCAAATCAGATAGGATGCACAAGGAAAAGACAAATTAGAAAGAGGAGAATTCTCTACCCAAAGGAGACTGTGTGCCAAGTGGGGCAGGGACTTCACCTCAGCTGACAATTCACCTAGCTCAGTGCTATGTACAGCAGTATACAGCACTGGTAGTATTAGCAATACACCCTTAATTCCTAATAAAGTAATTCAATCATCTAGTTTCTAACAATGCAGAGGCAAAGAGCAGATTTGGCATGAAGATTTCAGACAACCAGCAGATCCAGAGTTAAGGGAGACCTCCCTGGATCACCCTGCAGCAGAACTAAGACTGAAGTCCAATAAATGGCCTTCTTTTCCCCTCTCAAATTATTTTGCTTTCAAATCCATATGGCTTGTTTTGAATCCTATCACCACACATGAAATGAAAATGTTTCTGCCCTAGTATCCAATAAAAGACTTGCGTTTACATTAAAACCAATCCATACAAAATACCTAAGATTTCTTAAGCAATTTAAGTCACAAAATAGTATTTTGGGTGTGTTATCCAGGGCTGGTATATGTATCATATTTAATTCAATCTACATAAAATACTTAGAAACTTAATTAGACACATGAAGCTAGAATCCACTAGCACATCTTAGGGTAGAAATTAATTCCTATTTAGCTGATGGAAACTCAACTACATATGATCTTCTAAATCAGCCAATTAATCTCTACTCAAGACAAAATTCCACCAGGTCTTACTTAGGAATTACTTTGTCCTTAACACACATGTTTTATACACACAACAATACACACACTTAAGATAAAGAAGATGTTTGTCTAGTTCATGAACTCCCTAAAATTAATAGTGATAATGCTTATCCACCTGAAGGTCTGAGTTTATGAGTTCATAAGCCACAGCTGGACAGTGTCACAAACTCAACAAACAAGTGTGCCCACAATGAAGGTTTTAAACAATTATAAACACCCAGTAGTCTCCTAAGCCCTTTATAAATCTTGTGTAAAACAGAACTCATTGTTCAGAAGACAACTAAAAAATAAATTTGCTCTTCAAACAGATTACTCAAATTTAATTATCTATGCTTATCATCACAAAACAGTTGGCTAGAATAAATTCACCAATTAATTCTAAAACTTGGCAAGCTCCTTTCTAAGCCTTTGCATTCAGTGATGCACCACTGTTCACTGTCTTGAACATTGCACCAGTTTATATATAAAATTCCAGTTATCCATTGCTTTACTAGGGGAGTTAATAGAAACTAGTTAATGACACAATGCATTTGAACAAAAAAATTACATCAATAAATACTATATTTACTATATTTTATGTGATTAATTTCAAAATCCAAGAAAATGTTTTTGTGAATTTTAAATTCTAAATAAATCATTTAATATCATTTATTCAGGGAACTACAGGTTTAAAACGGAAAAACATGGATATCCGCATTTTTTCTTTCAGGTTTTGGTTGGTTTGAATTGTGTAGAATGGAAATAAATATATAAGTAAACTTTACCATGAATATGTTCAAGGAGTTACTCCCTGACAAGATAATGACAAAAAACAGTAGTCTCAGAAATAATTTGGAGCTTCTTTACTGACATTTTAGAGGTACTAATATAAGCACAAAAAAAACCCCAACTTTTTTCTTGCCTCCTCTACCCTGATTTTTATTTATGTAAGTCAAATTTTTCCTTGTCTAAGGTAGGACAACATTTTCTACTTGACTTTCTAAGGAAACAGTAGCCTTGATTTTGTATTATCAAAACTCAGTACCAATAAAGCATTACTACTACAAGTAAGACACACACCAACAGTCAATGGAGTCTTCATCCCTCTCTATGGAACATGATCTATCATTCCCAGCACAAAAACAAGGGAGATTCAAATGGGCATTGAATGACCCCCTTGGCATTTTTAATAATGGAATAGTAACTTGAAAGCTGGATCATTCCATTACTGCACATGAACCAAGGTATTTATTGAACAGGTTCAGACCTGCCACAACTACAACAACTCTGTTTCAAGAGCTCATTTGGATAATCCATGGCAATTTTAAATACTACTGTGCCACTAATGGTTTTCTACCTAATTCAGCAGCTCTGCATTTCAATAAGTGATAGCAAGGGAAGCTTAACATAATTGCAACAAGTTGAAGAAAGTCAGCCTCTGTGCCTGGTAAATTGCATCTTAGAACACTGCCTAGAAACTCTTAGAATCATAGAATTGTTTAGGTTGCAAAAGGCCTCTAAGATCACTGAGTCCAGCTGATAACCCCACACTGTCAACCCCACCACTAAACCATGTCCTTAAATGCCACATCTACATGTCTTTTAAATACCTCCAGGTGAGGTGACTCCACCTTTTCCCTGGGCAGCTTGTTCCAGTGCTTGACAACCCTTTCCATGATGAAATTTTTCCAAATATTCTTGTCACTGTCTGTAATGGTTTTCAGTAATGAAACAGTCTGAAATTTGTGGCTGTTTTCTAAATCACATAGGAGATTAGTAGTACCAGAATAGTTCAACCAGATGCAAAATTGAGTCTTCAATATTTTCCCATATCGTTGTCAATTAAAAAAATGACACCTAAAAACTGAAGTCCAGTAATGTGGCACAGAACAGTGTTTTATGACTTCTTTAAAAAGCACAGATATCCATACATTTTAAAATCTAAAAAGCATGCTATGCTTTCCCCCCTTCTATCTCATTAATGCAAACCAGTTCCACACTGTTGCTAGAAATTGCAGAATATACTAAACAACTTTTTTAAAAAAGGAAATCGAAAACTCTGTTCCTATTTTCTGTAACACATCGAGTTTTGAATTACTCAAAAGCCAGAAGTCAACATTTAGCATTCCTTTATTTATAAATAAAGTTCCTCCTTCTAATCTAGGAAGGAAATCTCTGAAAAATACATCAGAGTAGGAAAGTAAATCTGTCTCTTCAGTAAGGCCAAGCAGGACTCCTACAAAATCCAGCAGAGAAGCAGCTTTTGGGGTATAAGCTTGCCAGTAAATGTAAAAATGCTCACTTTCTATACAAATAATTTCCACTTACTCAGACAATCTTATTCATAGTAGTGTCCAAAAGTTTGCAATAATTACAAGATCAGTCATATAGAATACCTTATCATCATCATGGCTAGGCTTCGCGAACGAAGATTTGAGAAGGGATCTACCCACGCTTGCTACAAGCGTGCTGATGGCTAAAAAGACCAATGCGAGAAAGACATTATAAAAACATTCCTGTTAGACCAGTCCAAATACTCTTGCAATATAATTATTGATATAGCTTCAATTGTCCCTGAATCTCAGGCTCAGCTATTACAGCATTCTTCATGGCATACTTCATATTTCTGAATTCACCAGTCAAAGCTGCTGCCTACTGCTTAGTCCAAGAACTTTTTCACAGAACATCCTAGCAAGAGAACTGGAAATACATATGCATTCATAATTTATGAATAAACACAGCCATACTGTTTACATTTCTCAATTAAGCAAAACTCCTTAACAGCAACCAAAAACATTCAGATGTATGACTACGCATTTTCACAGGCCATAATCAGCTAGGGCCACCCAAACAGGCATACTGGGAGGTCTTACTTCAAGAAATTTGTCATTCCTTCCAGTAGATTGATTTGCCTTTCAAATCTTGAGCTGCTAAAAATTGCAAATCAGCTTTAAAAAAAAAAAGACCTTTCAAATACAGCATCTAAACCAATAGCATCCTATAGGTGATTTTAAAGGAAAGCATTCAAATTTATGGCACAAGTGTCTAAAGAATACTTTAAAAAAAGCACGCTTACAAAAAATATGGATTACTTGCATTTTACAGACAGATATAGTCCTTGTCTCTTAAATTAACTGTACTCTGCTGAAACAAACAAACCACAAGCAAAACCAACCAACCAACCACCAGTAAGAGTTTCCAATTATTAAAAATCATTATTAATTGAAGTATAACCATTTTCACTTCTAAAATTTCAGGGATAAATTTTCACTGGAGAGAAGACTTCTGTTCCATTCTTGTTCTTTCAGCAATTTATTGCTGTATTCTCAAAAAAGCATCAAGCATCTTGAAAGAAACTATTGTTCATCACAGCACTGTTTGCAGTTGTAACTATGGAATCCAACTATGTATTTATGTTGAACAATGATCGTCACTAACCAAAATCTAAGCTGAACCTTCTCCTGTGTGTCAAACCCCTGGCCCCTAGTCTACATCTGCTCCAAAAAGCTGGAAGTGATCATATTTAAGAAAGTTGGTTGGATTTCTTCAAAAACCTTTGAAATACACTGCCTTAGAGAGACGCTGCATTTCTTCCCCATCTTTTAAAGGCACAACCAACTTTAATATAAAGATTCTATGGTGAC